GCTGCTATGGCAGTGATAGGTGTTCCATCACAGAGCTTGTGCCCCCTTGGAGGGAAAGGTATGCAGCCTGACGGACTGGCACTCCTGCTTTCATTTTCATCTTCACTTGAACCACAAGTTGATTATTTAATGTCTTAATGAGCAAAACGGGAGAGGAATGGTGAGGCGCTTGCTGTATATGTGTGTGTGTGCTCTCCTCACCTTCAGCCAGTGAACATCTTGAGCTGATCATGCATTTCACCCTTGCTCAAGTACTTGCACTTGAAAAGATACGAGAGAGAGAGAGTCAGGTGGAGTTGGTTTCTTTGCAACTAAATTTGATTCCTTATTACAGCATTTTTCTACTTTTTGCCTCACCTTCTACTGGCCTCAGAGGCCACATAGACACTGCAAAGTTTTGGGAGGAATAACAGCATGTAAATATAGGAGTGATTCCTCTTCATTATTGTTCTTTGTGTGGGTGGAATGCTATGAAAAACTGTATATCTACATATGCAACTTTATTTCTTGCAATAGTAACATTGCAACAGCTATTTTTTTCATCTCAAAATGTTAATTTATATCTCACAATGTGACTTATCTTCTTCTTGATTTCTTATAGTTGCAACTTTATTTCTAGTAATTGTGACTTTATATCTCATATATATATATATATATATCTTTATTTTTCTCACAAATACTTTTTTGTTTACTCTGAGGTGGAAACTGATCCCTGAGCCAGTTTGGAAACAAGAAATATATGAATGGCATCTAAATATCAATTTTGATGAAGGTAGTGTGTGAATGGTGCTATTTATATTGTCACGCACTGTGTCGGAGTGAACGACGGAGACATAGATAAGAATAAACAGTCTTTAATGAATCCACAAAAGGGGCAATCCAAACCAGGAACGGGAGAAGACACACGTGCATCACACTGTTAGACCCAACAAAGACAGAACGCACGGACTGGAACTTAAATACATGGGGTAATGAGAACAATTGACAAGACACACCTGAATCTCATGAAACCAATCAATCAAGGAAGAAACTGGGTCACGGAGCACATGGGGAGGGAAAACACACCAAAACAGGTCCATAATCCTGACATACCACCCCCTCCCGGAAGGCGCGTCCTCGCGCCATAGATACAACAGAGAGAGGGACAGTGGAAACTTGGGAGGAGGCTTGGGAGGAGGATGGGCACCCAGGAGGGGGCCAGCAGACAAGAGTTCTAGGTGGAGACGATGGAGGGAGGAGACAGGAGGGGCTTGGAGCAGGAGGATGCCAAGCAGGACCCAGGCCGCAGCCATAACGGCAACCCACGGTGGAGCCGACGGAGGGAGGAGCCATGGTGGAGGAAGGGCTGACGACTCCAGGGGGCTGACCGACAGCGGCAGAGCAGGTGGTGGAGGAGCCCGAGGCAGAGACGGAGAGCCGATGAGCCAGGGCGATGGGGAGGATCCAAAGGGCCAAGGCGGAGCAGATGGCTCAGGCGACCGAGGCAGAGGCGGGGGATCCGGAATGCTGCGGTGGAGCCAGAGCGACAGAGGACCGAGAAGGAGCCGACGGGAAGGAGGAGCCTGACAGAGCTGGAGGAACGAGGCACAGTCAGAGGAGTGGAGTCCCGAGGCGACGGATGGTCGACAACAGACCAAGACAGAGCTGGAGGGACGAGGGAGCCTGGGCGGAACCAGTGGACTGCCGGGCCATGGTGGAGAGGAGGGAGCTAGGAGCCATTGTGGTGCCGCTGGGTCGATGGGCAGAGGCGGAGTCTGGGACTCAGAGGCTGGAGGCAGCGGCAAGGGATCCTCCAGCCATGCAGGTGGGTGGGCATTTCTGAGCCTCCGGGCTCTCAGGGCTGTAATCGCTCCCTGGGCCGATATTGGGAACGGAAGCCCTCTCTGTGTTGGACTCAGGGACAGGAGCTCTCTCTGGGCCTAATTCAGGAACAGGAGCCCTCTCTGGGCTAAACTCGGGAACTGAGGCTCTCCCTGGGTCATACTTGGGAACCGCAGCCCTCTTTGGGCTGGACATGGAAACAGGAGCCCTCCCTGGGCTGGACATGGAAACAGGAGCCCTCTCTGGGCTGAACTCAGGAACAGAAGCCCTCTCTCGACTCTGGTCAGGGGCTGGAGCCATCACTTGACTCTGGTCAGGGTCTAGAGCCATCTCTCGACTCTGGTCAGGGACTAGAGCCAACAGTCCTTTCCTCCTCATTCTCCTCTTTTGGGGTGAGGTGAAGGAGATAGCTGCTGTCATCATAGGGCTTGGGAGTGATTCGGCCGGTGGGCCAGACTTGGGAATAGCAGCCCTCTCTGGGCTTGATGTGGGGACAGGACTGACAGAGGGCTCCGACGAAGGAGGGAGGAGAGGGGGCAGGTCAGCATATACATCCAAAACCTCTCCTTCTAAGTCCAGCAGTCCCAGATCCACATTAAGCTCACCCTCAGCCATAGTGCAGGGGGCGGAGCTCCCCTCCGTGCTCTCGCTGTCCACGGCATTCTCCCTCGTGGCAGGTGATGTAGCCAGCTCTTGCACCTGGTCTGACGTCATCAGCAGCTCCGACTCCGGAGCAGCGATCCTCAGCTCTGTTGCTCCATGCGCCGATGGCTCACACTGTTAGACCCGACAAAGACAGAACACACAGACTAGGACTTAAATACATGGGGTAATGAGGACAATTGATAAGACACACCTGAATCACATGAAACCAATCAAACAAGGAAGAAACTGGGTCTCGGAGCACATGGGGAGAGACAACACACCAAAACAGGTCCATAATCCTGACATATACGTATACACTAATTTGCATATTTTAGTTTGTTTGTTTTTGAAAGAAAAAAAGAATACCTTGACAAAACAAATTACAAAAAAATATATAACAGAAGAAAGATTAAAAATGATAACAGTTTTCACAAAAAAATATTAAGCAGCACAACTGTTTAAACATTAATAATAATAATAATAATTAAATGTTTCTTGAGCATGATATCAGCAGCAATCATTAGAATGATTTCTGTAAGATCACAAATAAAAAACACTATTGTATATTTAATTTGTAATAATGTTTCCCAATTTTACTGCTTTTGACCAAATAAATGTACAAATATATTGAAATTATATGTACTATTATATATTTTATTTAAATTATATATATATATACTATACTATTTAGTATTATATTTATATGGAGCATATAGATCTCAGAAGAGGAGTGACAACTGCAGTGTGTATATGGCCAGAGGGAGATAAAGAGAGAGAGTGATTCTAAAAGAGCAAGATTCTGGCATATTTTTTGGCACACAGAAAAGGTTAACCAAAGAGAACAAGACAGCAGTGAGAAAGAAAAGATGGTGTGAGGCCAGTGTCTAGACAGAAAAAAAAACATAACTGAAAGTTAAACAAAGGCAAAAGACAAACCTGTTAGTGAGGTAATGCAACTGTGGAATTAGTTTTATCCTGTAAATGTCCATCTGGTCATAGACATTTTTCAGAAGCATCTTGCAGAAATGGTCAACTAGAGATAAAACATACAGCAGATATAATTTCCTCAGCACAGCCCCCTCAAGAACACTTAAACTCTCAGAAAGTTTTACTAATGTCATACTAACATTTAATGACTTCCCATCAACCCGCCCAGGAGGGAAGGAGAAGAATGGAGTAGGGAAAAGAAAAAAAAGGAAGAGGGAGAAACTCTGAAGGTCTTTAACAGACAGCGAGATGTCAGAGCTGTTGACAGTGTACTAACACATTGTGCTGAGGCTTATTGATAAAAGAAAGAAAAAATTCTCCATAATAGAGAGAGAGGATGAACGACAGGCAAGTTTTATGCCCTGACCCTTATCCCATAATGCCAAGCACAGATGGACTTTGACAGAGGCAGACCTAAGGTTGTCATCCATTTCTTTGTGTCTCCAAAAGTCACCAAGGCAATAAATAAAGATTGACAGTCAGTCTTTGTAGTGATGCTTCAGGCAGACAAGACACAACATGTAAACACACAGACTAATTTGAAAGATCCCATCTAATCAAAACCAGTTTTACTACTTGTATTATGAATATTGCTTATAGCTTGTTATCTGAATCGTAATTTGATGCCAGCATTGCTAGCAGAGAAGACAGTAAAATATTTATTTTATTTTATATTTTATTTTATTTATTTTATTATTTGTCTCATTTTTATTTTATGTTATTATTAATACACTCTAAAAAATGCTGGGAAGCGCTGGGTTATTGCTTTGTTATTTTGCTAAATATTATAAATATTATATTGTCTTGTCTGACTTGCTGCAAGACAGTGAAAAATTTAAGGGGGTCTGAATACTTTCCGTACCCACAGTATATTGTATGGTATGTACAATATATGTATTTGATTTTATTTTATTTTAAGGATGTAAGGATTGGGGTTCAGATGAGGTCTGCATTGTCATGCCCGCGGTTGTCACGAGACTAGGAGGGTGCAACTCAAATCTGCATCGCTCCCGTGGAGACACTTTGCCACGAGGCATTTGTCAATACTGATAAAGTCAACATGTCGCTCAAGACGTTTCTCACCAATGGTCCCGTCGGTCAACACTCCACACCAAAATAGACACACGCTCATCTGCAGGTCTAAAGGCTTATGAATGAGCACGCGCAACCGTCCCGGTGCCACACAGAATGCACACGCCTCAAGCTAACATCCCAGTTTTGGAAACAGTGGAAATCCTGTTGGCTACGGCTGGCAGAGCGATGGCAGAACAAAGAGCGAGGTGTAAGGAGATTTCTCCGTTTCTCTTTAATGTGCCTCACCGAATCTGAAAGCTCATTTCACTGGGGTCTGTAATTTCAGGAGGTTTCTGCTGAAACTGTCAGTTTTGGGGGTGTGTGTCACCTTAGGTGCACTGGAGAGAAATTGTCATCCTTCATAACACGCTGAAAAAAGAAGTATTGAGAATCGTTGATCATTTATTTCATATCGAGCTAAATTTCAGACCGTCCACACTGATGATTAAAATCTCTCTCTCTCTGAATTGCAGTGCTGTTCAACTTGATTCCTGTGGGTCTGAGGATAGTGGCCATCCAGAGCACCAAGACAGGACTCTACATAGGCATGAACAGCGAGGGCTACCTCTACACATCAGTAAGTCTACAGCATAATTATCAATAAGTTACAAATCTTTCCAGACCCATCCTAACACATCTTATCATGTTAAAGATGTCAGCACCATGCAGTAGAGGCCAAATGTCTGAATCCACCAGTGAAAAAGTGTTTATTCTGCAGATTTCTATACCAAATACTGTTGAATTGAAAATTGTTTTAATGACAGCAGAATCAAATGTACAGCAATATTACATTTTCTCATATTTACTTTTTATTTATTATAAACATGCTACCAGTCAAAAGTTTGGAATGAATGCTTTTTGTTGTGTTTTTGTTTCCATTATGCTCACAAATGCTGCATTTATTTGATCAAAAATACAATACAAAAAAAATAATAGTGTAATATTATTACAAAATTTTAATTCAAAATATTTTACCATGTAGTTTTTTCCTGTGATGGCATAGTTTCAGTTTCTTTATTTAGCATGCATTACTCCAGTTTTCAGTGTCACATGATCCCTCAGAAATCATTCTCATTTATTCCACGTTTGATCGGTAGTGTATATAAAAATTATAAATCTTATTCTATTTTAATGATTTGAAAATAGCCTTAATTATTAGAATCGTAAATATTTCTTATTCATTTTATTTTATAATGTCCCTTTGTATAAAAGTTTTTAAAATCCTAAAACTGAAGATTTGAAATCCCAGATTTTAATGATGTCTCAGACTTTGGGTCTCCACTGCATTATATGCTCAAGGAAACCTTACACAGTACAACATGCTCTTTGATTATGTATCAGGTGCTACTAATGAAGTTAACTGTTGTGTGCGTTTGTCCTCAGACAGTGAGTGTGAGTACTGTTGGCCTCAGTTCTCTGTGACACACTCCATTAATCTGGCCTATTTCTCTCTACCAGTTAAACTCTTGTGCGAAAGACATGCTTCTGCTAAGAGATGCATTGCTTTGCAGTGTACAGCAGAGCAGCCTTTCTTCTCTCTTCTCTCTGTTGTCTGATCCACTCGCTCTTATTTGGAGAAGAAAAGAGTATTCTTTTCATCTTTGAAATTCATAACACTAAAGTAAGATGATTAGTCTAAGAGTGGTGTATAGGCCTACATGATGTACTGTGCCCCCATAAAGTGCACTTAAAATTTATGAATTATTACATTGCATGGATATCAGAATATCAAACCAAATTCTATCTGCACACAAATACAGTGGTGTTAGATTTCAAAAAGATCTCCACTTCTCTTAGCTATGCGTCTTCTAAACTACTGGTCTCATAGTTATTTTTTTAAGATCAACTAAGTCTGACAACCAGAAAGTGCTCAAATATTTTTCATGTTTAAATTCTGAACTGCATATCTGTTCTTTTGTACTTTAAATCCAATAGCATTTTTGTCACGTTTGTAAAAGTGTGCTTGTGTTTTCTTTAAATAAACACTACTTTTACACTACGTATGAGTGTGTGTATGTGTGTGTGTGTGTGTGTGTGTGTGCATGTTTGTGGTTTATGAGGACACAAATTTGTGTAATAACATGGGTATGACATAGGTATTACAACGAGAAGGTGCTTTATGAGGACATTTTCAGTGTCCCCGTAATTCAAAAGGGTTATAAATAATTCAGAATGAGTTTTTTTGAAAATCTAAAAATGCAGAAAGTTTCCTGTGAGGGGTACGTTTAGGGGTAGGGTTGGTGTAGGGCAATAGAAAATACGGTTTGTACAGTATAAAAATCATTACGCCTATGGAGTCCCCATAAACCATAAAAACAAACCTGTGTGTGTGTGTGTGTGTGTGTGTGATGCAATTTATTTGTTCACATTCATGCATAAATATGTATAAAATAAAATGAATCATATAAACATTTTTATGTTTTAAAAGCTATGGTAAACTAAAACAATTGTGAGATAAACAAAAAAATATATATTTATATCAGTTATTACACAAATTACAACTGTCCCTAAGTTGTGAACTCAATAAGCAACTCATTTACTTCTCTATCATGTATCCCCCTCTCACACAAAGGAGCACAAATGCACTTTCTATCTCTTTTTTTCTCTACTCCTGTAAGGAGAGCATCTGTAGAGAATGTGTTCTCCTCATGGGAAGAAAGTCGACCCATTTTCCACAGAGGGAAATGACCATACCTGAAAAAAGAGAGAAAATCCCTATCCTAGAAAACCTCATGCAGAGCGACCTCTTTTCTTTCTTTTCTCTCTTCTCTGCCTTAGTCTGAAGCGTTGAAACCGCTCTACCTGTGTCCTAACTTTCATTCCTAACTTCTATCTTTTTTTAGCATGATTTTTTAAACCAAAGAGACTAGTGTGAAGCCAGTGAAGCATGCCACAAGACACAGTGCAAACACAAAACAGGAGACAGCTTGCTCCTGAACTTTAAAATATTCTGACATAATAGAATCAAAACACATATTGTTGACTTTTGAAATGTTATGTGAGGAATGTTTTCCCCCACTGTACCCTACTGTTTTAGCCTGTATGTAGTAGGGAAGCAAACGTATTTGAACACAGGGTTAGTCTTAATAATCACTTCAAGAATTCAGGTTTGGTGGCAAATCTCTAAACATTTTAACTTTAAGACAGTTAAGACCCCTTGTGAAAATTAACCATAGTTTTATTATAGTAGAACCACAGTTTTACTACAAATACCATGGTTAAACTATAAACCATGGTTAATATGTGGTTACCATGGTTTAACTATAGTAACCATGTATTTTTGTATTTTTAGTAAAACCATGGTTAATTTTCTCAAGGGACATTAGCCACAGTTCTGTGCAAAAATTTACCACAATCAATGCAAACTGCAATTACCAGCAAGCAATATTTTGCACCTTTTACATGGTTAAAATCTGCTGGCCATATATTTTTAGAAAGCAAATGTGTTAGCAATTACTTAAAGGGCTAGTTCAACTAAAAGTGAAAATTCTGCCATTATTTACTCCTGTGTGTTGTTTCAAATCTGTATGACTTTATGGAAGTGAAATCTTACATGTTTTTGCAAGTTGAAATTATGGCAACAGAAGTTTCTTTTGGGTGAACTAATGCTTTGAAAGTGAGTTTTGATGTGTATGATTTGTCAGATCTCTCAGATTCTTCTCTCACACACACCAGTTATTGGTTAATGAATGTGCTACAGTAGGTGGAGTCTTGTAGACACTTAAGTGAGTAAGTGAGTGTTAACTTATTTTCCACAAAACTTCCACCAATATTTTCCAGAGCTGGAATAAGAAGGTGCAAGTGTTTGTGTGTGTGTTGCATAACGGGATTCGTTCACACTCTGCCACAAATATACCTCTGTGTGCATGTGTATTAAGATCAGATGTCCCTGAACACATGGCCTCTCTCTGTCATACATACCTGCCCTAAACTCTGAGCCTATCAATAATTCATGTTTTCCAGTGGCTGACACACTCGGACACGGCCCTCCACGGGGACTAAATCATTCACACACACCTACAGCCTCTTCTCTCTCTCTTCTTCATGCTCGTTCAACTTCTGCTACCTCAGACATGCTCTCACCCTGTATTCTTGCAGGTCTCTCGTTCTCCTCTTACCGTCTTTATTTACTGTCACACAACTATGTTGTTGCCAAGATGATTTTAAGATTGTTACTATGCAGATGCTAGAGTGTTCTGAGTGTTGTGTTTTACTGTTGCTATGTGGTTGTTAAACTAGTGGTTCCTCTCCTTTTTCATTCCCCCCATTGTCCGCAACAATATTGGAAGGCCCCATAACTTTTCCAGCTGTTCATAATTTACTGGGTTTTATTCGCAATTTCTGCCTGATAAAATGTTTTAAAACTTGGCATAACTAGAAATCTATATCCATACTGAAATTGCCCATTGAATTTTAAGATGTTATTAATTTACATTAAATTAACCAGATTGTTCGAGAATGTGGTACATTTCGAAACCTGGATCTTCAAAGCCAATATATATAGTATAGTATGTGTCACAGATATGAACTATTGTTGTGAATGCTTATGTTCCCTTCTGTCTTGGATTAAGCTTCATCGTCTGGAGATCTTAATAAAAGTCTAAATTGTATTATCTTCTTGACGTAAGCGTGACAGAATAACCGGCCAACAAAAAAGTGTAAGCGGCGAGTTCCCTGTGTTTCCTTTTTTTTTTATGGATTCCCCCGCTGTCGTCCTTCTCCTGCTGGAGCAGGGGGAGCTCACCCTCGAGGACCACACATGGATGTTCGTGGAACTCTCTAACTTCACACACTACCCGGACAACTGCCTGTGTACCTTCTACAAGGCAAGCCTCAACACCGCAACACAGGCCAAGTTGTCTGGGTATGGTCCTCGGGGGAGTTTCGCCGCTTTTGTGGAGTGGGTGCTGGAGAGTAATAGACTACATTTCTCCGTCTGCCCCGTTGAGGAGGATATCTCCAGCCCCACTCCCGCCCAGAGCCCAGCCCACCATCACCCCACTGTGCGGAGCAATTGCCTGAGCCCACCGCTGATGGAGAGCCAGAGCCCGCCGCGACCGACAAGCCATCGCCTGAAAGAGCGACAGAGCTTAGGATCACCCTTACCTTTCTCTCATTGTTCTAACCTTTCCCATGATCCTCTGCTAGAGTTTGAGACGTCAGACCAGGTGCGAGAGCTGGCAACTGTGCACTCGCCGGTGGATGATGCAAGGAAGCACGAGGGCTTAGAAGAAAGCCCCGCCCACTGCACCACCGCTGAGGGTGAGCTGCTGCTGGACTCTGTGGACTTAATTTAATCTGATTTGGATTTATATGCGGACATGCCCATTCTTCTCTCACCATCTTATGAACTGTCAGTCTGCCCTGAACTATCTGTCTGTCCTGTTTCCGCCGCCTCGGGACTGCACTCATCCGGTTTCACCTCGTCCCTCCGGCTCGGTCCACTTGCTCCACCGCCGTTGGTCGGCCCCCTGGAGTCATCAGCCCTTCCTCCTCCATGGCCCCTCCCACCATCAGAGCCACCCTGGTCATCTGCGTGCCTCCCTGCCTGCCTTTCTCCAGCCCCTCGCCCTCCTC